CTTGGGAGTCGGTTCCACAAAGTAAGAGGTAAGAAGCACAGTTTATGAGGATATGTGGGGAAGATAACGGTTAACCCTAGACTTGAACAGGTTAAGATTGTAGTGATCGGGGAAGCATCCTCCTGGGAGTCGGTTCCACAAAGTAAGAGGTAAGAAGCACAGTTTATGAGGATATGTGGGGAAGATAACGGTTAACCCTAGACTTGAACAGGTTAAGATTGTAGTGATCGGGGAAGCATCCTCTTGGGAGTCGGTTCCACAAAGTAAGAGGTAAGAAGCACAGTTTATGAGGATATGTGGGGAAGATAACGGTTAACCCTAGACTTGAACAGGTTAAGATTGTAGTGATCGGGGAAGCATCCTCCTGGGAGTCGGTTCCACAAAAGAGGTAAGAAGCACAGTTTAAGAAGATAAAAGTAACCCTAGACTTAACAGGTTAAGATTGAGGATATGTGGTTCCACAAAATAAGAAGATAACGTTTAACCCCCTAGACTTGAACAGGTTAAGATTGTAGTGATCAGGGAAGCATCCTCCTGGGGAGTCGGTTCCACAAAGTAAGAGGTAAGAAGCACAGTTTATGAGGATATGTGGGAAGATAACGGTTAACCCTAGACTTGAACAGGTTAAGATTGTAGTGATCGGGGAAGCATCCTCCTGGGAGTCAGTTCCACAAAAGTAAGAGGTAAGAAGCACAGTTTATGAGGATATGTGGGGAAGATAACGGTTAACCCTAGACTTGAACAGGTTAAGATTGTAGTGATCGGGGAAGCATCCTCCTGGGAGTCGGTTCCACAAAGTAAGAGGTAAGAAGCACAGTTTATGAGGATATGTGGGGAAGATAACGGTTAACCCTAGACTTGAACAGGTTAAGATTGTAGTGATCGGGGAAGCATCCTCTTGGGAGTCGGTTCCACAAAAGTAAGAGGTAAGAAGCACAGTTTATGAGGATATGTGGGAAGATAACGGTTAACCCTAGACTTGAACAGGTTAAGATTGTAGTGATCGGGGAAGCATCCTCTTGGGAGTCGGTTCCACAAAAAGTAGAGGTAAGAAGCACAGTTTATGAGGATATGTGGGGAAGATAACGGTTAACCCTAGACTTGAACAGGTTAAGATTGTAGTGATCGGGGAAGCATCCTCTTGGGAGTCGGTTCCACAAAGTAAGAGGTAAGAAGCACAGTTTATGAGGATATGTGGGGAAGATAACGGTTAACCCTAGACTTGAACAGATTAAGATTGTAGTGATCGGGGAAGCATCCTCTTGGGAGTCGGTTCCACAAAGTAAGAGGTAAGAAGCACAGTTTATGAGGATATGGGGAAGATAACGGTTAACCCTAGACTTGAAACAGATTAAGATTGTAGTGATCGGGGAAGCATCCTCCTTGGGAGTCGGTTCCACAAAGTAAGAGGTAAGAAGCACAGTTTATGAGGATATGTGGGGAAGATAACGGTTAACCCTAGACTTGAACAGGTTAAGATTGTAGTGATCGGGGAAGCATCCTCTTGGGAGTCGGTTCCACAAAGTAAGAGGTAAGAAGCACAGTTTATGAGGATATGTGGGGAAGATAACGGTTAACCCTAGACTTGAACAGGTTAAGATTGTAGTGATCGTAGAAGCATCCTCTTGGGAGTCGTTTCCACAAAATAAGAGGTAAGAAGCACAATTTATGATGATATGTGGGGAATATAACTGTTAACCATAGACTTGAACAGGTTAAGATTGTAGTGATCGGGGAAGCATCCTTCTGGGAGTCGGTTCCACAAAGTAAGAGGTAAGAAGCACAGTTTATAAGGATATGTGGGGAAGATAACTGTTAACCCTAGACATGAAAATGTTAAGATTGTAGTGATCGGGGAAGCATCCTCTTGGGAGTCGGTTCCACAAAGTAAGAGGTAAGAAGCACAGTTTATGAGGATATGTGGGAAGATAACGGTTAACCCTAGACTTGAACAGGTTAAGATTGTAGTGATCGGGGAAGCATCCTCTTGGGGAGTCGGTTCCACAAAGTAAGCGGTAAGAAGCACAGTTTATGAGGATATGTGGGGAAGATAAAGGTTAACCCTAGACTTGAACAGGTTAAGATTGTAGTGATCGGGGAAGCATCCTCTTGGGAGTCGGTTCCACAAAGTAAGAGGTAAGAAGCACAGTTTATGAGGATATGTGGGAAGATAACGGTTAACCCTAGACTTGAACAGGTTAAGATTGTAGTGATCGGGGAAGCATCCTCTTGGGAGTCAGTTCCACAAAGTAAGAGGTAAGAAGCACAGTTTATGAGGATATGTGGGGAAGATAACGCTTAACCCTAGACTTGAACAGGTTAAGATTGTAGTGATCGGGGAAGCATCCTCCTGGGAGTCGGTTCCCTACAAAGTAAGAGGTTAAGAAGGACAGTTTATGAGGAGCACAGTTTATGAGGATATGTGGGGAAGATAACGGTTAACCCTAGACTTGAACAGGTTAAGATTGTAGTGATCAGGGAAGCATCCTCTTGGGAGTCGGTTCCACAAAATAAAGAGGTAAGAAGCACAATTTATAAGGATATGTGGGGAAGATAACGGTTAACCCTAGACTTGAACAGGTTAAGATTGTAGTGATCGGGGAAGCATCCTCTTGGGAGTCGGTTCCACAAAGTAAGAGGTAAGAAGCACAGTTTATGAGGATATGTCGGAAAGATAACGGTTAACCCTAGACTTGAACAGGTTAAGATTGTAGTGATCGGGGAAGCATCCTCCTGGGAGTCGGTTCCACAAAGTAAGAGGTAAGAAGCACAGTTTATGAGGATATGTGGGGAAGATAACGGTTAACCCTAGACTTGAACAGGTTAAGATTGTAGTGATCGGGGAAGCATCCTCCTGGGGAGTCGGTTCCACAAAGTAAGAGGTAAGAAGCACAGTTTATGAGGATATGTGGGAAGATAACGGTTAACCCTAGACTTGAACAGGTTAAGATTGTAGTGATCGGGAAGCATCCTCCTGGGAGTCGGTTCCACAAAGTAAGAGGTAAGAAGCAGAGTTTATGAGGATATGTGGGGAAGATAACGGTTAACCCTAGACTTGAACAGGTTAAGATTGTAGTGATCGGGGAAGCATCCTCCTGGGAGTCGGTTCCACAAAGTAAGAGGTAAGAAGCACAGTTTCTGAGGATATGTAACGGGACTTGAAGATAAAGTGATTCCTCCTGGGAGTCGGTTCCACCCACAGTTTAGACTTAACCCTAGAAACAGGTTAAGATTGTAGTGATCAGGGAAGCATCCTCCTGGGGAGTCGGTTCCACAAAAGTAAGAGGTAAGAAGCAGAGTTTATGAGGATATGTGGGAAGATAACGGTTAACCCTAGACTTGAACAGGTTAAGATTGTAGTGATCGAAGCATCCTCCTGGGAGTCGGTTCCACAAAAGTAAGAGGTAAGAAGCACAGTTTATGAGGATATGTGGGGAAGATAACGGTTAACCCTAGACTTGAACAGGTTAAGATTGTAGTGATCGGGGAAGCATCCTCCTGGGAGTCGGTTCCACAAAGTAAGAGGTAAGAAGCACAGTTTATGAGGATATGTGGGGAAGATAACGGTTAACCCTAGACTTGAACAGGTTAAGATTGTAGTGATCGGGGAAGCATCCTCCTGGGAGTCGGTTCCACAAAGTAAGAGGTAAGAAGCAGAGTTTATGAGGATATGTGGGGAGATAACGGTTAACCCTAGACTTGAACAGGTTAAGATTGTAGTGATCGGGGAAGCATCCTCCTGGGAGTCGGTTCCACAAAGTAAGAGGTAAGAAGCAGAGTTTATGAGGATATGTGGGGAAGATAACGGTTAACCCTAGACTTGAACAGGTTAAGATTGTAGTGATCGGGGAAGCATCCTCCTGGGAGTCGGTTCCACAAAGTAAGAGGTAAGAAGCACAGTTTATGAGGATATGTGGAAGATAATGGTTAACCCTAGACTTGAACAGGTTAAGATTGTAGTGATCGGGAAGCATCCTCCTGGGAGTCGGTTCCACAAAGAGTCCTCCTGAGGATATGAGTCGGTTCCAAGCAGATTGTAGTTTATGAGGATATGTGGGGAAGATAACGGTTAACCCTAGACTTGAACAGGTTAAGATTGTAGTGATCGGGGAAGCATCCTCTTGGGAATCGGTTCCACAAAGTAAGAGGTAAGAAGCACAGTTTATGAGGATATGTGGGGAAGATAACGGTTAACCCTAGACTTGAACAGGTTAAGATTGTAGTGATCGGGAAGCATCCTCCTGGGAGTCGGTTCCACAAAGTAAGAGGTAAGAAGCAGAGTTTATGAGGATATGTGCGGAAGATAACTGTTAACCCTAGACTTTTAAGATTGTATGAGGATCCTCCTGGGAGTCGGTTCCACAAAGGGGAACAGTTTATGAGGATATGTGGGGAAGATGACGATTAACCCTAGACTTGAACAGGTTAAGATTGTAGTGATCGGGGAAGCATCCTCCTGGGAGTCGGTTCCACAAAGTAAGAGGTAAGAAGCACAGTTTATGAGGATATGTGGGGAGGATAACGGTTAACCCTAGACTTGAACAGGTTAAGATTGTAGTGATCGGGGAAGTATCCTCTTGTGAGTCGCTTCCACAAAGTAAGGGGTAAGAAGCACTGTTTATGAGGTTATGTGGGGAAGATAACGGTTAACCCTAGACCTAGGTTAAGATTGTAGCAATCGCGGAAACATCCTCTTGGGAGTTTGTTTCAAATCGCAGCGTTAGCTCAAAGAAGCTGTTCGAGTGGGACTTACTTCTCGCCGATTGAATACAGGGGGGAATGTGGGCGCTTTGCTATTATGTAAGTCGTATGGCGGCTCCTAGTCTGGCGTAGCCAAGAAATATTCTTCGTCCGAGACAGTTTCCTTGAAAGAAACGATGGTGATGTGAGAGGTTCGTCACATTTCCACTGTGTGTGAGAGGTTGGAATGTGGTTAATCAACTGCTTGTGATGACATCCGGGGAAGATCGTACGTACATAATATTTTACATGCCACATCACGTTGTTACACCAGTTCCCGTACGATCATCGAAGTTAAGCAACGTCGAGCCTGGTCAGTACGGAGTGAGCGCTTCGGAATACCAGCTGGTGTAAGCGTAGATAAGTGGCTGGTGTAAAACCGTTCGGAAGTGAAAATCGGGGAGTCGAGTTCCAAGTCAGTTACGAATCGAACGATACGTAATCGTCCAACCGTGTATCACGTATGGCACTTAACGGACTGACTGGATTGGCGGTAAGGTCTCATCTTTTTACAGTTGAAATAGCTGGACGTTACCGTATGTTCTATGCTAAGAGTTTCTTCTCTCGCACTTCTCTCTTGTGGAACTCTCCCCCAGCTTATTGCTTTTCTGTCAAATTTGATCTTTAATAATGTAAATGAAATACTATTCGTTATCTTCTGTCTCCTTATTTTTTATTCTTTTATTGTCCTCTCTCGTTAATACTGTTTTTTTTTCTCGTACTTTTTGTCTATCGGTAACTTGTCTTGGATTGCATTATTGCCTGACATGTTTAAAATATTCTTGGTTCATTTTAAATGCAGCTTCTGTTACAAAATGATAGTGCTTACAGTTTTATTATTAATTACACCTATCTTAATTTGTATTTTCATTACAAAATATTAGGTTGGTGCAAAAATAATGACGTAATAATGTCGTTTTTCGACGTTAAAAAATACGTCAAAAAACGACATTATTACGTCATTATTTTTGCACCAACCTAATATTTAGAATAACTATTATTACTCACATTATGGAGGCACGGTGGAGTAATGGATAGCGGCTTGGATTGAGGGATGGGAGAAGGAGTTCGAATTCCAGTCAGATCCATTGCATTCACTTACGTGCTGATGCCCGTGAGAAAAGGTAAATAGCAGGACAAACTGGATTCTATAGCCTAAGAAGGCAACTGGTCTACCGCAGAAAGAAATAGCAAAGTTCTGCGGGAAAAAAAAAAAATCTGCCTCGTCAGTCATATATTGAAAGGAAAGATACATGATCGCCTAAGCGTATATCACGTATGGTGCATAACTGACTGACTCACATAATACAACGTTGCTTAGATCAAACATAATAAGAAATTACTTGACCTTGGCCCAAAAAGAAGAACTTGTCTACATCATTTGAGAAAACAGACACCGCAAGTTTTATATAAGAGTTTCCTTTCCTAGATATCTTCCTTGACGAAGGCTTAGGGGGACAACTCTTCTAGTTGTTTTACGGCGGGCAGACACCAACCCGAGCATTTCTACGTCCCGGCGTCTTGGAACAAACATAGATACATACATAGGATATTTGCTTTAGTGTCATATAGATAGATGAAGCTCTTAGTGGGAATTATTAAATCCTGTTTAAAATGGCTATGTCTATCACGCAATTTAACAATCTGCCTTTTAAAAAGACCGTCTTAAGTTGACTCCAAGAAAATTATTCTTGGATAGGGACGCACTCTTTTTAGTTTGATACGAAAGTGGCAATATTGATTAACTTGTTGGGCAAGACAGAAAGACGCTGCCATTCCCAGATGGTTTTTGCCTTGCGTGATTGGTCTTCTGGTACAGCTTCCTTCTCGCAACTTTTTCTCATCAATTCCAAAGGCCTGACCACAAACTAATTCTCAGAGACCAATTAACGCTAGCCTCTCTCTTGAAGGCTCACGAACAAATTTTACAGTTCCCATGGCAATGATCGTAGACGCTGGTAACTTCTACAGAAATCGTGATCATTACTGGTGGGTCATCGACGATATACTTTGGACACTCTGATAGCCTACACTCATGGGAACTATACTGAAGAGACGTTTTCCTGTCCAATTCCTGTTAATCATAAAGGCAATCGGTTTCCACTGATAATTAATTTAGTTTCGATTCTCTACGATTAAGCGGAATTTATTCAATACTATAATATATATATATATATATATATATATATATATATAATGAAATGGCCAAAGTCCAACAATCATTTTAAGACATTTTTCTGTTTATACATTCTTTTTATAGATACAAATATTTAAGTAAATGCTCTGTTCTTAATAAACAACATTTGGCTACAGAGGCGCGTTCAGTTAGAAAGGTCGAATTTACTGTATTTAAACTTCAATCTTCCATGAATCTCTCACGTACATTCATATCTGCTCATGGCGTATCTAAATGTAAACAAATGACATCACACATTATGAAATGAACAAAGTCCGACACTTATTTTAAGACATTTTTATGTTTATACATTTTTTTTTTTATAGATACAAATATTTAAGTAAATGCTCTGTTTATAATAAACAGTATTAAACAACATTTACCGGCCTGAATGTCCGAGAAATTTTCACAGAAAATATTCGTCCTCCGACAGGATTCGAACCTGTAACCTATACGGAACCGTCATTTTAGCCTGATGTGCCTTTACCGATTTCGCCACAGACGAGCGTTAGGTCAGCAAGGTCGAATTTACTGTATTTAAACTTCAATCTTCCATCAATTTCTCACGTATATTCATATGTGCTCATGGCGTATCAAATGTAAACAAATGTAATTGCAAAATTGTCCAAATCGTGTAGCAGCAAAATTGTCCAAATCGTGTAGCAGCAAAATTGTCCCAATCGTATAACAGCGAAATTGTTTAAACTGTGTAACAGCAAAATTGTCCAATTCTTAGATTAAGTTTTGAATCGTTGTATCTTAGAAAGGATTAGATATCGTACTGGAAATTCTCCGAGGTTATTTTTATAACAATATTGAACTGTACTTTGAGAAATAAGAACGTATTTAGCTCTAAGTTGAAATGATGGTCCCTCTTGCTGTTATGACCTCCTGATCTAGTTTTCCTCTCTACTGTTCTCTCCGTTTTAAACTTGTTCACCGATATCTGGATGGTCCTTGAATCGACTTTGAAGATGGATGCCAGAGTATGAATGTTGGTATCATTACTGAACGCCTGAATGATCTTTTTCCTCTCACCATTGCTCAGTTGGGAAGACATAGTCAGACTGACGGAAAACGATTTTAACCTATTCTCTTTCTAGCTGAATAGCTGAAATGGTTTTTCAGTGATTCTTATGTCAAATGGTATCAAGATGGCTAAGCGTCTTATCTGAAAACCTGAAATAAAAAAGAAACTCCATTAGATTTTAAATATTTTGTGAGATGGAAATAGAAACCGAGCATATATATATATATATATATATATATATATATATGTGTGTGTGTGTGTGTGTGTGTGTACAGGAAGAATGTTGTGATATAATGAATATCGAGTCGGAATTTGATATCGGAGAGCCGATTTCGAATCAAGTCGGATCCGTTACATACGCACAAATAGCGTTGGGAGGGGTATTAATCCAGCTATTGGTAGAATAGCAGGATAGACTGGGTTCTATAGCTTTGATGGCAACCTACTGCAGGGAAATCTTCTGCCAATTCTGTCATTAATTGAAAGAGACGAGATAGCCCAAACTTCTATCACGAATGGCACTTAATTGACTGACTTAAGTACGTATGCATACACAAATTTCAGATATAAAATCTATATATATATATATATATATATATATATATATATATATATATATCCGAATGTAATGATAACAAAAATAATATATAAATATAATAAATTCTAACGTTCACGGCATTAATTCAAGAGTGCTCAATACCGATAGTAGATCAATAATTATTTGTTATATTTTTTTCATATATATATATATATATATATATATATATATATATATATATATATATATAGAGAGAGAGAGAGAGAGAGAGATACATAGATAGATAGATTTATATATAAAATCAAAATCCAGGTAGGCAGTGACTGGCCACGCCTGCCAGTTTCATGCGTTTGCACACAATCGTCAGGTGGCCAGCGGCTGTAGTTCGCAGATGGGTACCCTATATATCACCAGCTATATAAATAAATATGAACCTTTTTTTTTCATATAATTGTATTCAAAATTCTTTGTTTAAATCAAAATCTATGGTTTTATCCCATAAAATTGAGATGTATACTCTGTAAAAATTTGCTAAGCGTGCAGTGATATTTTCATTCTCTCCTATGTGTGGGCTGTTTAAAAAGTTTGCGAAACACTGCTCTAATAGATTCTTACTCTATTGTAGGCGTCCTTGTGAAGAGCTATTTTATTTGGTTGTGCCAAATTGGATATTTCTTCTATGGTAGGCGGCCGATCTTGACCCGTCGTTAACGTCGTAATAACCGAGTCTTAATTTTATTACTTGTGTGATGGTCTTAATCATACTTGCTCTACGGTAGGAGCTTTAATAAGTAACACTGAAATAACAAAAGATATCACTCTAAATATAAATCAAAATACAATATGCGGCAGAAATACCTCCCATATTTTAAAGGTTCACAAAAAGAGTAACGCAGTTGCTATCTTAAAATTTATTCCACTGGTGTTTATAGAAAGAGCTATAGTCTTTATTCATATTGTTTTAAAAACAAATAGCCTATTTTACCGGTCCTGGTAAAACAGACACGAAGGTTAATATGCCTGTCCCGGTAAAATAGATATCAAGGCTTTTCTGCCGACCTCGGTAAAATAGATATCAAGGCTTTTTGCCGACCTCGGTAAAATAGATATCAAGGCTTTTTTGCCGACCTCGGTAAAATAGACACCAAGGCGATTTGCTGGTCCTGATAAAATAGAGACTAAGACTATTTTACCAGTCTCGGTAAAGTAGAAACAAAGGTTATTTTGCCGGTGCCGGTAAAATAGACAGCAACGCTATTTTGCTGGTATATATAAACAATATTTTAGAACTAAGAATATATTATATTTGAGGTCGTCAGTGTAGGGGTTGTGTTGGCTCTGTAGGCAGGATTTGAATATTCTGTGGTCTGTGACTGTTGTCTTCAGTTAGTACGCCTGAAGCGTATTGGCAAGAGAACCATTCCCAAGAATAACTTTGGGATTTGCAGAGACTGTTATGCCTGAAGGGCTTAAAATATTCAAAGACTTCTATATTTTATGATTGATGATGAATACATGATTTTAAGTTGTATTTTAACAGACGATGGTGGAAAAGATTTTAAATTTGTCTTAACAATTGACAGTGAAAATAAATAAACTTCTTTCTTAAA